GCAACTTTTAAATTCGCAGTAAAAATATTTTTGGTCACTCGTTTATTAGTAGAAATGATCTACATACACTCTACCCTACAATAATTCAGGCATACCATATACAAGAAATGACAAAAGTGAGGTTAAAAGACAACAAAATGCATCAAATAGAAGAGGTAGATATTTATTCTAAGATTATTTGTTAAAACTATATATATCAAAATTTATTTATTTGTTATTTATTTAGCAACAAGATATAAGTCTACAAATGCTAATGTACATAAAAGAAAGATTTCTACTACCACCAATAAGAATAATGCCCTGAAAACAGGTTTCAAAATGCAATTGAAGTAACGGAAATGAAATCAACAAATAATGCTGAGGGCACATCCATGGTGTGAAATAACAACAAAAATGATTTATTTTTAGATATTGAATTGGAAGAAAGAAAAATCGCATTGTTACTAAAGTGGAGGCTATTGAATTACAAAACAAGCAGTTGAAAGCAAGCTTGGATTTGTAATTTTGGATAGCTTAGATTTATTTAAATAAATATGCTTTGTGTTAATTCAATAAAAATTTGGATTTGCTTACAATTAAATAAATGCTGATTTTAACTTAAAGCTTAATACTTTATTATATTTTTGAAAAAAATTTGAACAGTCGAATATTAATATGGGATTAATGCCGGTGTAAATCAAGAATCGAACTTATAAATTTATAACTCAATGACTCAATTATGCATGTTTTCAGGACTTAGTTATTTATTTAAAAACTTCGAAAGTACTAAAGCTTAAAAGAAATTCGTATGTACTGTACTAGTACGAAATTTTTTTTTTTTTTTTTTAAAACGTACTATCAAAATATTACCTAATTTTTGTACTAATTTTGCATTACCGTACTGTACTACTTTACTAACTACCTATAATTCATGCATATTCCTATCCTACGTTGATAAACTACTTAGTCTACCAACTATTACATAATTGATCGTGGTTCGATCTAATGTTTATAATTCCGATTGATATTCCCTAGATCACGTGCATCACGTGCACACGACAACTTATTCGTTCATACTTTCTTCGATTCGAAGCCATATGTTAAGATTCGTACACATACTTTTTTTTTTTTTTAATTAACACTTTCGTTTGTCGCTTTACTATTGTCTCAGAAATCCAGATCGATTCCTTTCACCAAGTATACCGCATACTTATTTCCACCATGATACTAGTAAATCTTGACGAAAAATAAAAAAAAAAGCACTGAATATAAAATAAACTTTTAATACTCATATTACACAATAGGTGCTAATATTAAGATGTTAATCATAGTTTACATTGTTTATGTTTAGTAAACATTTTCCTAAAAGTGACAAAAGTTTTCAATAAATCTATATCTAAGTGCTTGAGATCTCGATTTTTCAATTTTTCGAACTGATAAACTTTCCGACAAAGATGTTTGAAAGTATCATATTTCCGTATCCAGCCAAAGATATGCGTACGTACGTATGTAGTCTTATAATATTTATATCTGTAGTTCTGTACTATTTAAGCCACCGCACTTGCATTAGAAAATTTGTCATTATTTATAAAATTTTCACATAAATTGATAAGCTGGCTAAAAATTTTTCATTTGAATTTACCAGGCGTTATTATAAAAATTTTTCGGTTGAATATGCTTAATTATGAATATACAGTAAATACTCAGTGTAAATTTTTAATCCGAATATAGATATTATAAAAATTTCTATATGTGATATACTCTTTAAATAGAATCGTAATAAAATACCTATATCGGTATTACTAGTTATTAAAGCAAAAAATAAACAACAATATAAACTAACAATCAATAGTAACTAACTTCTAAGGTTTGACCACTAAGCGGAGACAATAGACAAATTAATAGGAATACTTCTATGAAGTTGAGTATTATATTCAATTATTGCACCGCGTTCATGAGCTACTTCATGGTATTGTGCTATAAAATTTTCCAAACTTTCTAAGACAAGTTCAGCATCCGGGCGATTTGTAGGCACTTGTTCCCAACAACATTTATAGATCTCCGCATATTTAGACGGTGTGCCTTCTGCAAATGTTTCTCTCTCGCCTTTAATAATACGAAGGATTACTTCAACTTCTTTTACCAATTCAAAGGGTATCTTACCACTTGAAATTTCCCAGAGAATAACTCCTAAACTATAAACGTCAGATTTCTTGTTGAGTTTATATGAAGGGTTGTTAAGAGATTGTGGATCAATAAATGTTGGAATTCCATAATTGCTTAAGTTTAAATTTGCTGATGTCTCGTACAAGGAATGACCAAAATCCGCTATCATAGCTTTTCCTTTATGAATTAGGACATTCTTTGTGTGCTGTAAAAATTAAAAATAATATATTAATAATAAATACGTATACAGTACTTAGAAATAATGATAATAGAAATAAGCATACAAGATCTCTATGAATAATATTATTCTCATGCAAGAATGCAAGGCCACATGCTATGTTCTCTGCAATATGCAATTTATCAGCCCATTGTAATCTTGAAAAATTTTTTACTAAATATTCGCGCAAGTTGCCACTGTCAGCAAACTGAAGAACCACACTATACCCATAAATTGGGTCTGTAAGGTTAATGATGGTTAAATTATTGTAAATTTATAAATTCACGATATTATTAAAAGCTTATGAATTACATACCTTTAATACCTCCATAAACGCGAACAATATTCGGATGAAAACCAACTCGTTTTAGAAGTTGAAGCTGTGTACGCGAAAATACTAAGCTTTAATATTAAAAATATATAGATCATTATGTATGTATGCATATATAATGCAATACCTCTTTAAGGAAACTATGATGCTGCTCTGATTCCGTATTAAATTTCAAACGTTTAAGGGCTACGGTTAATCTGCATTTCTTCCACCTAGCTTTAAAAAAATCACCAAATCTACCTTCTCCAGTTTTCTCAAGATCAGTAAAATCGGCATAATTAAAAATGGGAGGAGCGCGAAATCCATCTCCTTCCGCAACCTTTTAAAATGAATATATATTCTTATATAAAATAGTACGCTATCAATAATAATGGGCAAAATTAACTTACCCAAACCAATTTTTCTTCGATGTCTGAAGAACTCTTCGTATTTAAAGATGCTGGTGAAATAAAATTACCAGCATCTCTATTCGTACTCCTAAAAACGAAAACGTACGCATCAATAAATAATATTAAACTTACTAGGCCAATAAAGGATACGAAAAAGTAAATACTTTAAAAGTTGTGCATACATTATTTGCTCTGAAAACTTTGGAAAGTAAATAGGTGTGTCTGGGTATGAAGTAGATGCATTGGAAAATTCCTGAAATGGCCTCGCTATAGGCCAAGGTGACGACACGTATCGCCTAAGTGATGAATAATTCGAGTTAACGTCGTTAAACGCTAATCCAGACGTACTGACAGATGTTGGTGAAATAAAATGTGAGCGGCGAAAGACGTAAGTTATTGATTCGGGTGAAGTTGAGGAAAATGTTTCTTCAGAATCTGTTTTATAAAGTCGTCTAGCACGAGTTGTTTGTCTGTATACATTTTTTACATCAGATTATTCCTCAAGTATAGATGCTAATATCAACGAAATTTCCTCATCCACTGCTTGCACAGATTTCAATGGCTCCAATTTCTCAGATAATTCCGTTTCTTTTTTCTAAATTTTTTGTAAGTGTAAATTTTCCATGAGTCAACATTAATAATTTATTGCAATTACATCGCATTAAGAATCTCCGGAAATTTCACTTCATTCTCTCTTTTCAATTAGTGAAGCAAATGATTTTTTTAACAATTGTAATATGCAGAATTCATAGGGTTCAAAAAATCATTTTTCACACTAATTCTAAAAAAGCGATAAAACGAAATATTGCGTAGTCTAAAAAAAATGAAGCATAATTTTCTGTGGTTCTTATCAAAAATCTCCGGAAATTTCAGTTCATACTTATCGCTCTTTTTAAATTAGTACGACAAATGATCTTTTTTGAACCCTATAAAACTCGGCATATTACCATTGTTAAAATAATAGTAATATATAGAATTCATAGGGATCAAAAAAATCATTTGGGCTGCCGTCAATAGAAATCAGGCAGATTGACATTTTAAAAAAAATCCATACCTCAACTTTCACAGTTCATACCTCGATGAATTTTGAAGCTATCTTGATGATTCAAAATTCAAAAGAAAGCTTAGAACTTAATCTTTCTTTCGAATATTAAACTATCAAACTAGCTTCAAAATTCATCGAGATATTAGCTGTAAAAGTTGAGGTATATATTTTTTTAAAATGTCAATCTGCCTGATTTCTATTGACGGCAGCCCATTTGTCGCACTACAATTTGAAAAGAGTGATAAAACGAAATCATGCGTAGTCAAAAATGAAGCCATAATTTTGTGCAATTCACATTAAAACAATCTTAAAGAAAACAACCTCGCTAGTTCGAAACATCGGGTGGTTTTAAATCTGAATATACTAATGTTTAGGGTTCTTTGAACGAAAATTTAAAGATGTCAAATTAATTTTAAAAAGATAATGTGAAACAATATTTATTTATTTATATTGTGTTGAGTTTCCGGAGTTTAAACTCCGAGCATTATCACAATATAAAGTCGCACCTATAATTTTCAATTAATACATATGTTACATTCTGAATTTACACTTTTAAAGATTTCCTACAGTTTACGCAAGTTAATATCAGTTTTCGACAATAATGGGAGATTCAAAAACATGGAAGTCGGAAGTCGAGAATGCTCTTAATTGTTACAATTTTTCTGGTTTTTCTGATTTCCAAAAAATCGGTGAAGGTAGATTTAGTTATGTTTATAAAGCTGAGTGGAAGAATTCTAAGTCAACGGTTGCTCTAAAAAGTCGAAAGATTAAGAAATCCATGAACATAGATAGGATTATCAAAGAGGTATTATTTAATTCAAAATATGAATTTGTTAACTTTTAGGTATTAATGTATATTTTTATGTAATATCGTAGCTTCAAATTTTAAACGAAATCAGTTTTCATCCTAATATTATTGAACTTTACGGCGTGACGAAAGGTATGTTCTTTTTTGATGTGAACAAATTTGAAACTACTAATATTTCAAATTAACTTATAATTAACATTAATAGATTCAAATATTAATTATTACATGGTTCTACAATACGCTGACGGCGGTAACTTAAGGGAGTATTTAAGAAAAAATCAGTTACAATGGAGCACTAAATTAAATATTGCTGAAAACATAGCATGTGGCCTCATGTTTTTACATGATAATGAAATTATTCATAGAGATCTTGTATGTTTATTTGAATTATTATTGTATGTATCATTATACACATTGTTGGCTTGACCAGACCGGTTTGACCATTGGACCAGACCAATTTGACCGGTCTGGTCAAAGGATCTATACTGGTCAAATTGGTCAAATAGTATATTTAAATATAATTTATTATTATAATATATATATAATTGATTTGACCAATTTGATCAGTAAATTTTTGGTCGACCACTAATTTACCCAACACTGATTATACAGTATGCACACAATGATTCATAATTAATATATCGTTTATAAATTTTTACAGCACACTACGAATATCCTAATCCATGAAGAAAAAGCTATGATAGCGGATTTTGGTCATTCTTTGTATGAGGCATCAGCAAATCTAAACTTAAGCAATTATGGAACTCCAGCATTCATCGAACCACAATTTCTTAACAATCCATCTTACAAATTTAACAAGAAATCTGACATTTATAGTTTAGGAGTTATTTTCTGGGAAATTTCAAGTGGTAAGATACCCTTTGAATCTGTACAAGAAGATGAAGTAATCCTTCGTATTATTCAAGGAGAAAGAGAAATATTTGCAGAAGGTACACCGTCTAAATATGCGGAGCTCTATAAACGTTGTTGGGATCAAGTACCTACAAATCGTCCTGATGCTGGGTTTGTCTTCGAAAGTTTAGAAAAAGTTATAGCACAATACCACGAGAAACCTCAGGAACACAGTGCAATAATTGAACATAAAACTCAAATTTCATAAAAGTATTTCTATTAATTTGTCTGATGCATCACAATTTGATTATTTGATTACTGTACAAAAGAACTATGTAATAGTTATGCACTGGGTGGCATGTATAAACGGGGCAGATCTCCTGTTTTCATAGAACCCAATGTATAACTGATTTATATATCAGGGTATATCTCTGTTATATTTTTTTCGGTTATATTCGGTCATATTTTTTGTTTTAATAGCTGAGTAATACTGTAAAGTGATGGATTAGGTATTCTTATCATTATTATTATTATTCTATTTTTAAGAGAATATGTTATAGAATAACACCTAGCTTATGATAGTCGAAAGATTTTTGAAAATAAAACTATGTACATTGCATTAAAATTTTAAATTCACCGAACTATAGCTATAGATTATTGTTACATTATATATCGCGCGGCTTGCTAATATACTTCACCTTGAGCATGAGTTGACATTGTACAGTTACATATCTATTTTTTGATCTGCCAGAAATTTTTTTGTAATAACTGTGATGAATTAAAATGAATGAAATGAGTGATAGCGTCAAATAGACAGGCTACCGAAAAATACAAATTTTTGAGGTGCATTTTTTTAGCGTTTTTTTTTTGAGTTAATATTAGGGTTTAGGGGTAAAATTTATAATAAACAAGTATAAGTGGGTTTTAGGGGGGATCAAATATAAACTTTTCAATCCGATTTCATTATGATCCGCGACATTTAATTAATAAAAATTTGAACCTGATCATATACAAGATTATTATTATTATTGATAGTAAGATTTCTTTTTTAAATCCTCGACATTTAATTTCTGATTCAAACTAGAAAACCCACTGAGTCTCTACTTAAAAACCAAATAAGCTCAAAAGTAGTGACAGTGATTATAGCCAATGATGACTACTAAAAAAACTATCAGCTTAACCGATTAATTTTTTTTAAAAAATCTGTTATTCTATTCCTAAAGCTTCCAATATTGAAAATAATGAACCTAAATGCGGGCAAGGTGCAAGACCAAGACAAATTCCGAAAGTTTCGAAATAAAATCGACTAATCATCCAAGATAAATTACTCGAGTTATTTTGCAGTGATTACTGCCAAATAAACTTCGTTATTGGCAGCTTACGTAATCACTACAAAAACCCAAATCATTTAGCAAGCGTTCACTCCGCTATTGTATGCTACGCAGACAATGATTTGTTTATCTGGCTACCCGTCAGCTCGTAACTAGTAGTTTTTGGTAAACCGAATTCAGGGTTCAACAAAATAGTAAACAAATATAGCCTCCTTACAGTCACGTCACTGGAATTCACAGATATTTAATAATGATAATAGTTCGAAAATAATGTGTCCATAAAAAATTTTTCATATGATGTGTTTAAATAGGAAGTGCTTACATGGGTGTGCGATAGTGATGCCTGACGAAACCATGTGATACTAATTATCACATGCTATTACTTATAAAAAATCAATTGATTTTTACATACTGTCCCATGTGACAATTAGCATCACATGGTTTCGTCAGGCATCACTAGTGTGCGACTGTATATCATTTTTTATTTTTCTGTTCTATTACGAAAAACAATTGATTAAATGTTTATCGAAAATAATTTCTGATATCTCTATAACAAATTATACACATATCGCTTTCATTCAAATATTTCACGTTTTTATATGATAGATCACTAAATAAATTTTTGTACGTTGTTCAATAATTTATCCACAGAATTTCTTTCAATATGAATGAATCGCTCACAGATTTGAACGCACATTACCAGAAATAAGTTTTAATGTATACTGTACCATGCTGACAAAAAAATCAATTGATCGAAAAGAGGAGAATGATCATGTGTCAAACGCCACGTGCCAAACCCCTGCCATGGTAGCACAGGTCGGGATCAAAGACGCATGCAAATGAAGATACGTGATGAAAAGCCACCGACTACAATCAGTATTTAAAGATCGACGAATGAGTCACTTGCGGCACTCTTTCCTCTTACAACTCATTGAAGCCTTAACCACAGGGTAATTTCTGATTCTGCCATTTTCCTATTTAACAGTCGCCTGCTTTGAGAAGGCAGGGAGCCACCAGCTGATGCTGCTTCTCGCTCATTCTACTGTTACAATGATACCTGACGCAATCTTATTTGCTAATTTTTCCGGGAGCATATCATCGTTCAGTTCGAATTACTCAGTTCAAATGTATTATGCGAATTTAAAGTCCTTTAATTGGATTTATTTCCGGCACCTTTGGCTAGCCGGCATACTTCTAACTACATGACCAGTCGTACCTATGCTTTTTCAATTCTTGTGTTATACTCAAAAACATTTAATAATAACCACATTAAACTGTATCTTAAAAGCAATTTTTTTAATAAATGGACATTTGATAATAGATTTTATTGGACAACTTATTCGAAAATGCCAAATGGAGCATCCAAGCGTAGATACAAATAATTGTCATACCTGAAATAGTATGTACCAAGGTTGAAAACGGCTATTGAAATAGTGTCCATTTACTGTAGAGTGTCCAGGGTACTGCGTGTATAATTCTGCTCACGCTAAAAATACTTTTTTACATTGTAATTTGATTTAGAAAGTGATTTAAATATCGTGTCTCTTATGAGAACAATATAAAAAATTGTTTTTAGCGTGAGCAGAATTATGCATCGCAGTACCCTAGACACTCCAATTTACTATGCCAAATTCCCATTGTTTAAAGTATCTTTTTTGATACTTCAAAATTGGTATTTAAATTATTGCAAACAATTACTGTAGATAATAAATAATAATATCAGATTTTCCTATAAATTGCGAATGACCACTATTTCAATAGTCGTTTTCAATGGTATGTACTATTTATGTTATATTCATACGGTGAATTAGTGATTAAAAAAATATACAATGTAAGTTTTTTATTATGTGTATGCATATAAAAATAATTTAAGAATTAATAATAATAACGATATAAAATTTAATTTGATTTTGTATGCTATTGTTAATTACTCAAATTACTTTGATATACATACATATAATAAAAAACTTACATTTTATATTTCTTAATAATCACTAAATTTAGGGTTCGTTTTATAGAAATTCTTATTTGAGTCAAATTCAAATCGCTAACATAACTCTCTCATTATTTAATAATAAAACACCTGCCCAACTATTATATACCGCACTGTAGCCCCAAACTCTATGCAAACATGACTTCCTTCAGCGGAATTTCAGGTTTCGTCTTTTGTCATCAAGCAAAAATGGTTTCGTCTAACAACTATAGGTACGACTAGAGGTGCAGATATTTAGAATTTTGGAGATAGCTACCCAGCAAAAATATCACGGCGATTAGGGATGTTAAATTGCTTCGTGTAACCTAATGAATTTAAGATAGTCTGATTAAAAATAATATTAATAATAGATCTAATTAATAAAAATAGTTAAAAATAATATTTAAGATAAGAAATTTGTCTTTAAGCATTTTTGAGCAAACCTGCTTCTGAGCAGTGCTTTTAAGACATTAAAGTATTAATATCTTCTACAAATTAAGTTAAAGTATTAATTTTTTTTAAATAAATATATTCTTAAAATTATTATAAACAAGTTAATTTATTTTGCAAAAAAAATAATCATAAAACTAGCAAGCAAATTAAATTAAGCAGGTTTCATCACTAACGGCGATACGGCATATTTGCCGTATAAGTAGAAGTGCCATATGCCGTATAAGTGTTGTATGCTGTATTAATACCGTATGCCATCATTCACCTTAATTTAGTGGACGAATATAAAGATATTCTATTAATCGGTGGATTAAAAAAAGTGATTCATGTTTATAAACACTTATTGTCCGTAGCGAAGACTCTATGTCTACTCCAAACCATGCAATGTCCGTTGACATCACCCAATCAATTTTTCATATTAAGTTACACTACATATTTGCAGATTTCTCAAATAAACAAAATAACACATAACACGTTATCTTTATTGCTTCGGACATCTATCAGATCCTATACCTAGTTTACTACTAATTAATACCCTTTAGATTGCCTTTCTATTCGGTCAGTGAGTATTACAATAAATTTTTAATGATATAAGAAATAGATATAATATTTGACAACGATTAAAGTAATCTAAATACAGCAAAAGTATACATTGTAATAAAGACAACACGTTTAAAACATGATGTTTGGCATGTGATCCCAACAAAGTAAAAATGATTGCATCAGAGAATTTCATTCAAAAAATTACCGTATAAGCGTTTGTGGGCATTATTTTGAAAATCGGATCCTTCAAAATATAATTTATATGTTCTCGAGATTAGCACTATGGGTAGTGTTCCGAGTTGGTTAAAAATTTTTCCAATCGATTAGTTATCAGCTTAGTTGTCGATTACAGGATTAGTTGCAACTAATAGTCACATGTTTTCAGTAAATTTTATTTTATTGACATAGTAAATAATCACGTGTTTTCTGTATCATTCCAAATCATTTTGATTGGCTAAAAAAATTCCACGCTTTAAATTTATTATGTAGCCCTATAAAAAAAGTCGAACCGTGATTTATACTCTGTGTTTTTTCCGTAAATGTTGCATGTTTATAACCTTAAATCATGGAGATTATTTGGCTTGTTTGGATTTTATTGATCATGTTGCAGATTCACAAAATATATAGAATAATAATAGAAATATTCGGATAAAATTTCTTACAGGGTAGATAATCAACCAACGATTAGTTGGTTAAAAAATTTCCAATCGATTAGTTAGCTAGTTGGATCACTAACTATGGGCATTAAAAAATAACGCACATCCTAATGTAGCACATAATTTGCTGTGATAAATGGTATACAGTCGGCACTCCATATGTGCACTCTCTATCCCTATAAAAAAAGTCGATACGTGTTTTATATTCCATGGTTTTTCCGTAAATGTACGGAATTTATAACCGTAAATCATGGAGAGTCGATCATTCACGGGGTTTTCACAAAAAATATGGAAATATTTCGGATAAAATTTTTTACAGTGTATAAGTGCACTTAACATTAGGGTGATAAATCAACTAAGTAATCAAAACTATGTCAGCTATATTGATCATTTTATTATGATCAGATTTTTATCAGCAAAATTAAAAAATGATCGATCAAACGCTTTTAAGCCTTTTAATTATAAAGAAAAGTGTAAAATTATAAAGTTTTCACACGAATATTGTACTTATTTATCATTTCTTTCGATTGAAAACACTGCACCAGAACTATCTCAATGTAACTATGTTGGTTTTTTTTACAAAGTTCTAATTAAATTTTGACTTGCATGTTTAAGCTAATGCTTTTTTGTTCAAATCGACGAAATTTAGACCATTCTGCAAAACGAATACCCAAAACTTACATTTTAATAGAGAATTTAGAAACATAGCCTTATTTTTAGATACTTTTTAAACAACCTGTGAAAGTTTCAGGTAATTGCATGTCT